ACATTCTAGTTGCTCCCTCACATAAAGGGCAACTCCACCACCTCGCCGTCCTGGCCTGTCTTTCCTAAAAAGCACGTAGCCGTCCATGACGGCATTCCAGTCATTGGAGCTATCCCACCATGTCTCTGTAACCACAATGAGATCACGGCCCTGCGACCGCACACAGATCTCTAACCCTTCCTGCTTATTCCCCATGCTGCATGCATTGGTGTACAGGCATTTCAGAGAGCCAGTCAAGCACGCAGGCTTCCCAGGAGAGGTGCAAGAGGATCCTCCATAGCCATGTCCCATGCTGTCTCCCCTGGCTGCATGCACCCGCTGGAGGCACCCTGACTTGAGCGGTGTTTTACTGACTCCCCTGCCACTATACCACTCCCCTTCCCCCATCTTTCCTAGTTTGAAGCCCTCCTTACCGGGCTGGCCAACCTGTTGGCAAAGACGCGCGTGCCCCGCTTGGTAAGGTGGATCCCGTCGCTCCCCATCAGCTGTTGATCTTCAAACAGGGTCCCATGGTCATAGAAACCAAAGCCCTGTTGCCAACACCAGCGGCGCAGCCAGTTGTTAACTTGGACAACTCGTCTACTCCTCCTCCCAATCTTCCCCTCACAGGCAAGATTGAGGAGAAAACGACCTGGGCTCTGAGACCCTTGACCACCATTCCCAGAGTTCTGAAGTCCTGTTTGATGGTTTCCAATTTGCCTTTTGTGTCATTAGTGCCCACCTGGAAGAGCATATCTCCTATCCTATGTTTTGTTTAGGATATTCTAGCAGTCCTCATTTCACTTTTTAGCATTCTCTGGGAAACTTTCACGTGACAAATTCCCCAGGAATGCATGACATCAGTGGTTACTTAGATCTCTTGTTCTTTTCCAAAAGTACATTGCAGTTTTGAAAGACTCATTGCAGTGAGTCTTAAGTTGCCTATCAGGTGTTGCAGGGTGGCTTTTGTGGGTTGTGATGGGTGTAGGGCAAAACATGTATTTTTATTTGTCCTCTGAGCATCTGTGAATTGATTTCCTGCAGGGACCAGTGTCAAGAAGAGGTCCCTCTGTTTTTCAGAATGATTGGTCTAAATATGGATAGTGGGCCCTGTTGTCAGCTGATGGTGGGCCCTGTTCTCAGCTACAGTGTCAAATGATGTGCACTGTCCATTGGTCCGTGGAAGTAAGGTGCCTAAGGAGGCCAGCTGCAGCAGTGATGGTGACTATCACACGAGGCAGGTTAGATGTTATTGCCTAAATAAGTAAAACGGTAGCATCTGAATGATATATCTTCATGTGACGTGCAATGCGGCAGAGCAGAAAATGAGCAGACGCTACAGTTCCCATGTGCTGTGTAAGTGGCAGGTGCTTTGCATGTGATAACTCTTGTGATTATTATTAATGAGACAGCATATGGTATCTTAAGTGTGGCTGTAGTGACAGAGGTCAAAGTATGAAACCTTGGCGCTCTTGTAGCATGCCCTGTGATTCCAGAGCAAGTTTGCATGGTCATCTGCACTGATGTGGCTCCCTGTTATTGTATAAATACTGTGTATTCAAAATCAAGATAAAGTCAGTCCTGTTTTGAAGGAGGTTTGTGAACATGGGAACAGTGCGGGAGACATCAAAGAAGCAAGCATACCAGAGAGCCTCATTGGCCAGAACAAACCAGCCCTGTGGCACCGGGCATTGCTGCACCATTGCTCCCCAATAACTCCACAGCCTTCACACAACTGCTGCAGCCTGACAAGCCCGCTCCCCTGCAGTCCTGCTGTGGTCTGTAGTATGCTCAATTGCTCACCTTGCCTGGGTGCCGAAGAGGTCCCTAACTGGAACAGGCCTTTGACCCATGTGCTCCCTAGTCTCCTTTGGCTTTCTGCTGAGGGGAAAGCACACAGGTGAGCAGAGGATTTGAAGGAGCAGGACATTATGCTGGGTGCCCAGCGTCAGGCCCAACTCCCTTCCCCACCCTGCAGTGCCTCAGGGTCCAGCATCCTCTGCCTGGGAACAAGGGCGACAACTGCAAGTGCTGATCCGCAGCATTGGGAAGGGTGTTGCTCATCTCCTACAGCCTTTACTGCACTAGCAATCTGCCAGGGTACCATGCTCACCCCTCCGCAGGGTAGACACAAGGAAGAGCAAAGATGATACAAGGGGTGAGGGGAGTATTGCTTGGACCTCTGTCCCTCACTTTAGTCAAGCAAAGTGCTGGGGCTTCCAGCAATCTTTTTGAGTCTTCATGCCGCTGAGCTTAACAGTCCCTTTGCTAGGAGCTGGCCCACAGTGGTGCTTGCAGCTGACAGAAGCTGGTAATCTTTGCCACTGATTGCAGAGGCGATGTTAAGTAATTGTTGTAGAAATAGTTGCAGTGAGAATGCCAACTGTAAGTACTTTCACTGTCCTCTCTCCCCAGCTTTCAACCAGCAGCCGAAGCTGTTGCTGCTCCTTACAGAAGCTTTTCCCAGGGCTGCAGCCTGAAGCCACATGGGGTGGGTTTGTGCTAGTAGTGCCACGCTGGGTGCCCAGATCCTGGAACAGAGCAAGAGAGAGGGGCAGTGGGAGCTAGGGCACGCTCCTGCTTGCTGGGTCTTGTCCTACACTACCTAGCGATTAGCTTTTGTCATCATTCATGGCACGGAAGAGCTCCTAAGTTCTTCTGTAGCCCTCAAAGGGCTACAGCTTTGCTAAAAAATTTCCTTTCCCTCCTGGCCAGCCCCATTGTCTTCTGAAGTCTTGAAAGCTGCTGCCTAGCTCAGGGCACTCTTCTCTTGCTCTGCATCAGCAGACGCAGGCATTGCATATCCCTTGCTGCCTGGCTGCCCTTCTCAGCCTGGGGTTTCCCCATTCCCACTTCCCAGTAGCCGGCCCTGCCACAGGAGCCAGCAGGAGCAGCTCTTGCAAGTCCTCCACGCCTCAGCTGGCCTTATCTGCCCTGCAGCTAGCAGATGCCATCTTCCTGGCCACTCTCCCAGTCATGTGTCTCATCTCGCAGCTGGTCTTCAAATTTCTCATTCTGCACATGCACCCCACGCCAGGGTCTGCACGTCTATCTCATACCTGTAGGTTAGGCTGGGGCATGCTGTCTTCCCAGGGATAGCAGACTGGCCGTTCTCTGGGTATGCAGTGTGTCCTCTGGCTAGGCCTCTGCTGAGTCTCCTAATTTTCCTTATCCAGTTATCAGGACTGATTTTAATAGAATCACAGACTCCCTTTATATTTCTCCCTGACCTTGAGTTTTGGCAAGCTATAGCCCTCTTGTTTTGGGAATCACTGGAGCATCTCGGCAAATGCAGGCTCCTCTTGTCACAGGAGACAGCTAGTGTGCATGAATTTCACAGAAAAATTCTTTATTCACTGGATTTGATTTCAATTGTTTCTTGGTCCTTCTCAGAAATGTCTCTGTCAAGGGTATTCCCCTCTGATTTGTCACCTTCATTTTCACTTGGATTCATGGTGCTTTGCTCCTCAGAGATATTCTCAGGTATTGCTACGATGACAGGTATCCTGCCTACCATGGTGGATGTGGTACAAGGAAGGTTAGAAGTCCCTACCAGCTCATACCTGAATGACATCATTTCATTTTCCGTGAGTGTGCTGGTGACAGGCAGCGGCTTTGGCAGAACCAGCTTGCTGGTGACTCGCATGACCTGGAAGGGGGCCGTGTCTGTCCAGAACTCGAGCCTCGCCACTTCACTTCGGTCTTCCAAGGAGCGTTGTTCTCCCCTGCTGTTGAAGCCCCTGTACAGGACAATGCAGTGCACCGCAAAAACTAGCTTTCTAATGTACTTGCATGTCCTGTTGGAAATATCTGTCATGAAGACAATGGTTTCACCAGGGGAAAATATGTTTTTCTCTAGGTAAATCCGAAGGATCACAGAACCATGACTGAAGCAGCAGAGATAAACTGCATCCTTCCTAGCTTCCACCATCAGTGAGGCCTGCACAGAGGGGGGGAGAGGAAAGGCAATGATGAGTTCTTGGTGAGTTCTTGGTGCTGGATACAGGGTATTCCCTAGTGCTGTGTGCAGAAATCCCCAGCACCACAGCTGAGGCTGCTCAACCCTCCCCATGGGCCCTGCTGTCCACCTACAGGAGAGTCTTTCTTGCTGCATTGAATGTGGTGTGGCTGAATTGTCACAATCTTCCTGAGCACCTGTGCAATGATACACGTGTGCACACGTAAATGTTATTACCTGTAACTACCCACACCCAAATTTAGAGGGAGGCCACAAAATGGTTAAAGTCACTGTGTTCTAGCTGTCTTGATGGTCGGTGACTGACTGTCACAGTTTAGGTAGAACAAAAGTGCCTAAGTAAAAAAGACACTTATTATTTGGTGTGAAGGTTGCTCTAGGGCTTAGACTTCAAAGAAGAATAACATCTCTCTTCTCTCATTTTGGATCTTAAAGTACTCCCTGCATATTACTTTTGAACTTTTACAATGAACTTATGTGCTAGTAAAGAAACGTCTTGGTGCGAGCACTAGGACAAAGATGGCAGAACATATTGAAGGTGTCATTTGAAGACTAAAAGGAGGAAGAAGGTTCAGCTGAGACCTAAAAGTTCATGAACACTCAGTAGCAGAAAATTGAGGCCCTGGATTGAAACAGGGGGAAGCTCTGTGTGTCCCCACCTCAGCTGGTTTGTTCTCCTTACCATGTCTTTCACATCTTCTCCTTGGTTGCCAAAGGTTCCTTGCAACAGTAAATATCTCTTCTCTTTAGCTAAAACAATTTCACGGCCACTGCAAGTCCCTTGAATAAAGTATGAGATGAGGCCAATTTTGCTAGTGAATGTCGAGGGAAGCCCCGGAGGAAAGCTGAAGTGGAAGTCAAAGGTGTGGACCCCAGAATCCAGCCAGCCATCTGAAAGCCAGACAACATGCTGTTACCAGGAGCCTTTTAAACAGGCAGGATGTTTGTACCCTCCAGAAACCTTGATATTTATCCCAGAATTCGGTATGTCCTTAGCATCTGATGTTTAACCGAAAGTGCCACAAAGGCATGGTATGGGATGGACTGCGAATCGCCTCTGCAGGTCAGCTGCTGGATATACAGGCTCCTACTAGGTGCTAGGCTTGAGAAGTGCTATTCAGCCTCATCTTGTCACAAGGACAGCAAACTGCAGCTCCTCGCAACCTGGTCCAGGCCTTGACTTGTTGACAGAGAGTGCCACAGACTTTGAACTTTGCAAACAAACATTAATAGGGTCCTAGGGAGTAAAACAACGTAATAACTCTCCCTCTTCCATTCTCATTGTCAACCACAGCTGTGTGCAGGATCTGAGCCTTTTGTCCACCATTTTGTTTCACCTATGCAAAAGAGCTCGTATACAGTAAAAATAACATTTGACCCTTCCTCTGCACAACTGTGAGACTGGAAAATCATGGTCCCTTCCTTCCAGCGTCTTTGCTTCTGTCCTGCTTCCTCTTAATCAAATTCAGTTTTCTGTGGGTGAAGTTCCACTGCCTGTAACGAAAGACTATCCCTCCTATGCAGCGATAAATATGGTCCCCTTTGTCCACGTGAGACCAACTCTGGACTCTTCTTCACCCAAGACCTACTTGTTTTAATCACACCTATCTGCTGGCAGTTTTATTGTCCAGACTTAGGTTTCCTTTGCTCCTAATACCTTGTGCCAAAACTCTCTTTGGAACAATATTAGTAGGGAATGTGACGCTTTTAGACTTCTTTCCTGCTAACTTCATCCCTTTGCAGATAAATTCTACAATGCCTCAAGTTTTAATAATCTAAACTGGATGTTCCTGCTGGCAGGAGAGCCCGAATATTGTTTCCTCACAGCATGGGGGATTTGCCAGCTGGCATAACAGTGTTTTCAATCAATTGGCATTGTAACTCTGAAGAAATACCTAAAACAATGTGATAGGGAAGAAACTAAAATTCATCAGCCTCTTGGATAACTGCAATATAGAGAAGTCATGTTTTTTCTTCTGACCATTTGTAGAAACTTGAAACTCTCAGGGCCTTATCTCACTTACACCAAGTGCTCTATGAGTTATTTTGGCAATGCTCTTGTTTTTGTGGAAGGGAGGACTTTAAGGTGGGAGCAAATGTACAATTTAACTGTGAAAGAAACCAGCGTTTCCCTCCTGGAATGATCTGGAGCTGGATCCTGGGGTAACTAGTCTATTTTGTAGCCCCAGCTGAAAGGGGTGTAGGTTGCAGCACAGGTTTTGCAATGTGCGGATTGACCGAAAAGTTCAAGTTTATCCATCCCTGCTGCAGGTATGGCCTTAAGACCCTGACTGTGTGCAAAAATGCTTGCGGGTACTTATTCCAGTGTGTATAGAACTTACTTTAAGCATGTTTTCTTTAGCCTGTGTTGCAGCACTTTCAAAGAGACTCTCAGAAAACTGTGCTTAACCTCCTGTATAGGTCCTCAGACTAAGAATGACAGTAGCGTTAATCAGTTTCATTGAGTTCACTTTGGAACTGAACGTGCACTTACCTGCCCTGCCTCCCGATTACTGGTGGACATGTGTACCATTGCATAGGAGCACCTGCTCCATCTGTGGCCTCCCAAAACTTTATTCTCCTGAACCACGTGACAGAATTAGCTCCTCTGCAGAAAGTTTCCCTGCAGCTGCAGAGGTGGGAGGGTGCTCCCAGGAGTAAACACCCTGGAGGTACCTAGGGACACTGTGCATCTACTGTTCAGCAAAGCCTGGGAACTTCAGTCACACTGGGAAATTTAAATCACTTCTAGATACGTTATTTTTGTTATCTAACTCAAAAGGAGATCCATCTCTTGTTTCTTGGCTAGGAAGATGATGGCTGTGGCTGTAAGAAAGTGCGAATAGGCTGCCTGTAGGAGCGACTTGAGGGATGACCTTTCTGTGAAGGACACAAGAGGTTTCCTGGGGTTTGACTGACCTTGCAGGGCAGTGTGTGACGAGTTTGAAGTGGTCTGTAGTGTTGGGGAGTTCCTGGCTAATGTTCACTCTGACCCGGGTTTTTTGCTGCTGATGAGGATGGTTACTCATGGTAGCAGTGAAACTCGGCTTTTTGTTTTCTGGCTCTAATAATCCTAGAGATGCTACCGGTCATATTCAACAACTGGCTGGAGTCAGTGCCTTGCATAGTCTTTACCTCACAAACAGACATTACTGAATTCCCTGTGCCATGATGTGAGTTGCCAGGGTTAAAAACGAATATGTTCGTTAGGCACCCAGATTCAGTTATATTCATTTCTTACGTGGACATAAGATGGGACCAAGGCAAGGCATGTGGTAAGGTCAAATACCAGGCGGTAAGGTGCTATCAAGAGCATAATAGCAGCTGAGCGTCAAAAGCTGACACAAGCAGCAACCCATTCAAATATACATTCCTCATATGCCACCTTCAGTGTGGGGCACAGAGTATGCAGGGTAAGAAGGGTCAAGTCTATATCTTTCATAGTTTAAAATGGCTTTCTTGCACCTTGTTATAGCAGTTCTGTAGAGTGCTATGCTGGAAAAAGGAGCATAAAATCCAAAAAATTGTAAAAATCCATTATTAACCTGTCCTGCACTGGCAAATCCTGAGAGGTGTGGGGGCTCAGCTCTTTCGAAAAACAGGACACGTGTATAGGTGACAGAACATGGATTCAAGGGTGTCTTTCAGCACCACTAATTTGAACTTTAGCCTAGAAGATCCAGAAAAGAGATGCTTAATGGGTATTTGTTCTTATAATGGCAAAAACGATTTTTTCCAAAATGATTTCTCCCTGTTCCCCATCAGGGCTGTAACATCCATTTGCCTGTAGGAAGAGTTTGCACGCTGCAGTAGGTCAAGGCTAAGGCAATAATGCATGCGAAAGGGGAAAATGACCTTTGGACGAGGTAGAGCCTTCAAGTCCAGGAAGAAATGAAGCCTGACCGCTGTAGGTTGTAGCTCAAATGCAGTTTTTGTGCACTGGCACACGGTCTAACTTCAGCACTGAACTAACCTAGGGCAGTGACTTTCTCCAGGATTCCCAATAGATCCTAAGAAAGGAAGGGTGAGGAAGAGGAGTGCACCTCTTAGGAGATTTCCAACTGCTAATGCACCCCCTGGAATAATTCACTGGTCTGCAAATAAATACATTTTAGGTCATCACTATATCCCACTGACTTTATTTTTTTGAATACACCTATAAGTTTTAATGGCTAGTTCTGCGTTTATGTGTGTGCATGTTGGGGTGTGTAACCACTGAAAACGTCATACTTTTGCAGGTAGTTTTAGTGCGTGTCTTGGATTTTTCTTGTCTCTCAGTAAAGATACAGCAGTACCCCAATAATGCCTTGACTAAATTTGCAAATATAACAGAGCCTGTATCGCCAGTGCTGTGTAAGTCAACAGGAAACGGCAGGTAAGCATTTTAGATGACCAAAGAATGCTTCAGTGATGTGTTTGTGACTAAAGGTTTTCTACCTGCTGCTGGGAAGGTTGTGGTAGCTTTCTCTGCAGCCACCATTCACTTCACAGCCACAGCCACAGATCTTGGGGGGGGACTAGCACTCACGCTCTAAAATACTACTTCCCGTACCAAAACGCTGCAGTTTATCCCGAGGACACTGCTGTTGTATAACACAGTGAAAAGGAATGTGCCACAGGACAGAAACAGAGCACATGGATATTGGCACAAGAAAGACTTCCTCCACACTGGAAAAGGTCTGATCTCATCTTCACTAGTCCAGCGCTAAGGAGCTGTTATGTTAATTGGCACCTGCGTCTTACCATCTACATGGAAATTCTGTGCTTTGGAGACATAAATAGCCTGGTTCCTGCAGACAGTGCTCCTGCTGTAGTCCAGGTGGGGGTTTTCCTCCTCATTCCACTCCAGGTAGCCTCTTCCCACCAGCTCCACCTTCACCACAGGGTCCACCAGGGTGCTCCTAAGCTTCAGAACCAGTTGACCAGCTATGCTGGAGCCTGCCAGGTACACCTCGTCCTCGGGCAGCACCAGCTTAATTGATTTTACTGTTGACATGACGGATGAGTAGGAGCCAGGCACTACCCGGGGGCCCGGGGACCCAGCAGCATCGGGGTTTGTGAGGTCACCGCACTGAGAATGGGCACAAGGGCCTCCACCAGAGGTGGCTCAGCCCGCTAGGCTGTGGCCTGTCACTATCAAAGCAGCCTGTCTGTTCATTACCAGCACATAATTAAAGGGCAATCAGTGAGCTACGCATTCAGGTCCATATAACCAATGCAACAGATAAACCCCAAAACTAGCTGGTGAGAGCGCACCCCATGAGCCACGTGACACCCTGAGGTGTGGGTCCCTATGTGTTGCCCCCTATCAGTGCCAGCGCACTAAGTGGATTCAGGCTGCTCAAGGTGTCCACCAGTGCCAGCTGGCAGCTTCTGGCAGCACCAGCGCTGGTTTTGGTGGCTGTTTGTTCCTTCTCCCTTCTCACTCCCAGCTCTCCCCTCCCACCATGCTCTCATGCTCCTTTTGGATTTGTTTCCAGGCTGACTCCTTCTCTCAGAAGTCTCCTGGTAAACCCCTGGCTACTGTTTAACCCAGCTGATGGTCATCTTAGGCAAACTTCACCATTGCTATTTTCCTCCTAGTGTTACCTGTTTTGAGCAACCACCGTCTCCAAAGGCACAGTTCTGGGTATTGTGTTCACACGCACTGCATACACACACCTCGCTGTCAGATCAGCTGTTGTTTTCCGGGCATGCTACAAAGAGGGGGCCATGCAGACTTGCCTGCAGCAAACTACTAGCGCTGGGTAGTAAATGCAGCTGATGCTGCCTGCATTAAGGGTGGCCAGAAGACTACAGCAAATGCTAGAGAGATCTGAATGTAGCAGCTTAGGCAACCTGCCGTGACACCATCCCTCTGGGCAGCAAGGTCCTGTAGTTCCGGCTGGGGTCAATGGGCTCTTGTTCATCAAAGCAGGATGGCTGGCGAGATTTTGCTATAGCATAGTAGCCCTTGGTGAGCATGGCTAAAGACAAGTGACTGATGCCAGCGGACATCTGTGAGCCACTGACGAGCTGAGAGCCCAGAGTAAAAGCTTGGCACCTGCTCCACAGAACCTGATTAAAGATACAATGTTCTCAGCTGCAAGCTGGAGGATGTGGGCACATGGTGAGAAATGCTGAAAATTAACTGAACCAGACGGCCAACAGTTTAGGAAACAAGTCACACCACCTTGAACTTCAGACGCTTCCTCCTCCATACTAATTAGTCACTTGCTCAGCTCTGTCAGGATGCTACTTCACTGCCTCTGTACCTTATCCCTGCTTACAATGTTGGGTTTTTTTAAGCAAAAAAGAGAATTGAATTAACATGCTGACTGCAAACTGTCACTCAGTCTCGCTTCTTGGCTGCTGCATTTCTTTCTGTGAGCCTATGCTTGTCTTACTTTATTAAAAAATAAGCTCTCTGGGAAAGGAACTGTACAGCACCCTGGCTTGTAGGGAACAGGAACAGCTTCTCAACTGGCCCCAGAATAACCAATAACAAAAAATATCCTTTTTCTTATTTACACTTGACAGTTTTCAGGAGTCTGCCTTGCACACAAGTTGCGTGGTTATGGGTGGAAAAAATAGCTTATAGCTACTTGCATGAGTAATGATATATCGTCAAGTAAAAAATTATAATCACTGATTATATATGAATTGAATACTGAACTCCCATGGTTTGGTATTCAGGCACTGATTTATGCTTTACAAAAATAGCTTATAGCTATGATCTCCGTGCTACCAGTATACCAAACCAATATTTCATCTCAATCTGTACCTCTCCTGAGAATTTTAACTGCAATTTGAGCCTGCAATCAGTTGGGAAAGAAGGAAGCATTGCTTTTAAGTCACAGTTTGTTCTCTTCTCTTAACTTCAATTGCTGTCTTGAAGTTAGACTAGCTAAAATGAGTTGTGCAGATGTTGTTCCTTTGCAACCTCCCTGACAAGATGATCTTTACATTCCCTTTCCACAAGAACCATATAGTATACTTTTAACAAAAGTAAACTTCAAAAGATACAGTAAAGAGCATCTTATTCTATCTTTGCCTATGCTGATATGTAGTAACATTGATTTTGTGCTTTCAATCGAAATCGGCCAAAGTAGAAGAAACCTTCATCTGAATCTGCTGTGCCTCAGAAGTTACAAATAAAAGGATCACGGATCTATGCCTTGAAATATTTAATTTTGCAAAACAAAACCCTTCTCATTTATTTAAGAAGTTTTATGCAGTCTCATCATGTTTCATAGGTTTGTCCAGGCATCAAGAGGGATTGTGTCATTGTTTGCTGTGACATTCAATGGTTTCAGTTCTCTGAGACTCACGTGAACGTTGCCTTAGATTTAAGCTTCCTGCTTGGTTTATATTTAAAATTTTGAACCTGAAAACTCAAAGGGAAATGAAAGGCCAAGCCCTTGAGCTTGCAGCGTTGCACTTTGATAAAACATATGTCAGTGCAAGATTGTGTCAGCGAGGGTCCAGGACGACAGAGCTCAGTCCAGAAGGGCCCATTGGTCCTCGGGGTCTGCACAGTTCCCGTAGACCTCCGGGTCTGCAGGAGCCGACTATGGCAAAGCAGAGGCAAGACCCAGCCTGAGCTTTTGGGTTGGTGATTGGACTGCTTTGCACTTTAGGAGGATTGAATGTCAAACTGTCCCACGGATCTCATTTGTATTCCGCTGCTTTCCACCGGAATATGAAGGGCTTGCATTTGCACACAAATTCCCTTTGTGATTTGAGTGACTTGAGCTGCCTCTGTAGCTCTCCTAGTGGTGACAGGGGGAAAATGGAGTACCTGCATCTGAATTTTAAATTTCTTTTATTACTGGGGAATTAGGCCCTACCGATAGCAAAGTGCTTTATATACTAAATGCTAGCACTGGCTTTCTTGAAGCTAAGTTTACAACCATCTTATAGCCAGTGACATAGCTATGAAGAAACAGAGTCGTGGAGGACTCTTCCTAAGCTCAGCTTGCTAATAGAAAGGTTTTACTGCAGATTATGAATTGGGCAAAGGAATTCAGATTCTCTTTGCCAAGCATCCATTTTCTGTGGGAAAATAGTGTGTGATAAGCACTGTGAGTGAAATGGCCAACCTGAGCTAAGGGGATAATTCTTCTTTGGCATTCCCATGCAATGAGTGATTCACTTGGCAATCACAAGGTTCAATTATCTTTTAATACTCTTTTTTGCATGTGATTATGATATATTGTGCGTAGAAGTAGACAATCAACGACTTCACTAATAATGTTTTTAATTTTATCAGCAAGAGCATGGCAAAAAGAAACTTTCTCCAATTCTCTTCAAACTTTTAAGATATTTTATTTATATGAATATTAATATTCTACCTAACCCTGATATTAAAAATTATATATTATTTTAACATGTTCCATGATATCCACAGATCTGGAAAACGCTGTTTTTACTGTTGCCAGTTGATTTTCCACCAACACGTTTTGCAACAGATTTAAAGAGCTGCACCCACCATATAGCCATACAATGAAAACAATTTCATCAAGAGGTATGAAAGTGTAATTGCCAGATTTTGTTAGCCGTACTCTGATGACAACTTTTTTGTGGGGATCAGCACAAATCAGACTGACTGTAAATTCAGACCACCTCTTTTATTCTTTGGCTAACCTCAGCATTTAGGGAGCTCATTCAAAGGTAAGAACCAATTTAAAAATTTATAACTATACTTGGGGATTGAGGGGGGTAAAGAAATACAGCAGAGCCAGCAAGACTTTAAAGCTTTGCCATGATAGATATTACCTGGAGAAAGTACTGCAAAGCTGTCAATAGCTGCTTGTAAACAGTAGAGCTTGAAATAGGGAAAACATGTTTTCTCCCTGTCAGAACGGCACAAAGCATCGGCTGAAGCCCTTGCCTGGCCTATCCATCTGGCTGATGTAAGAAATGAGATATCGATTTTTCCTACGGCATATGATCAGAAACTTAGAGGAGCCACAAAGCTAGCAAGCAACACAATTTATTACATTCTAAGTGAGATGTTAGAAAACTTTTGCTAAAACACACATCTTTCTATTTAGCAAATGCAATTTAAGTCACAGTATTAACCAAGGAACTATAGAACACACCCTGCTAGATTTGCTGCTGATAGAGCTAGGAACTGGCTTATGTGCTGCAGTTTCCCGTGTTATAGATAACCTATTCACTAAAAAAAATTCATTTGTCAGGAATAAGCTGTGTCAGAATCACTCCACAAAATTGGAAGCACTTGTCTACAGTAGCTAAAACACAATATTTAACATCATTAGCAAGTTTCTGTTATTTTATCACTGCTAAAGAGACATACTAGTTTGAAACTTTCCTAATAAGCCAAAGAGTCCCAGATGTCTGGATTATTCCGTAGGAGGTCTTTTAATGATGGCCCAGCGCTTGTGCCGTAAGCATCTGTTCTGCTGACTGCCATTGCTTTAAATAGCTGCTCAGTTTGTCTGCATTTAAATCAGGAAGTGGATAAATAGGCCTGTTTTGATTTCAGAACTTTGTTGCCAGTGAGATGGACAAAACACCAGCTGGATGGCCACAGTGGATGACATAAGCCCAGGTGGAGCAGCACACCCAAAGCCCTATAGCTTGGTCATCTTAAATGCTGCAGGCTGACAACTGATTTTTTAGCAGCACAGAGGAAAAGTGGTGCTGTTGCTGACAAGAAGAGGTTTTCTGGGTTTTTTTTCAAATTGAGCCTATTCAGAAACTGGAACTACCCACTCAGCACTCTTCCAGATCAGTCTTGCCTCTTATCACTCGAAAATATGAGTGGAGGTCTGTGAGTTGAGGCTTCTCTCATTGGAAAGGACTAGGCCAGTTACTGATGCCACATTCCTTGATAGTCCCCCCAAAAGCCAGCAGAAACACAGACTAAATTTGACTCCACAATAATAATGAGAGGAACTAAAGCAAGGAAAATTCAAGCCCAGCAATTAACCTTCATGGTAAAGGGTCAGGAAACAAGCCTGCTCATCTATATCAGTATTTAATGTGAGG